TTTCTGATCGCGGTATATATCAGTATATTTAAGGTCTATAGGTGTAGACCGACCCACTGATGAGCCAGACCCCTCGCAGCTGTGTCAGGCAGCGGCGACAGAATACCGGCGAAACACGTGTCTGGGCCTTTTAGCTAGTACCTAGGCTGGTAGTATGGTAAGTTACAACATCAATTTATGACAGGCTAAGATTTGGTTAAATACAGCACTTACAGAGGTGCGAAAGCGTTCCACAAATTTGTGAATAATGATTAGCCAGGGTATGTGAGCCAGCTCCTTGGCCGGCAGGGTGTCCAGATCATGATCTGGTTGGTTGGCCAGCTTCACCAGGGCGGGCAGTGGCCTGTCAAGACGAAAGTCCGGCCTAGTGGAGTCCGGATGCGACTCAATGATGGCGTGTTCGAGCACTGAGACGCGTAGGTAACCCAAGAAGCCGGTGCTGTTGCAGATAACGATGGGAATTCGGGCCGGTGAGACTATCCGGCTGAGTCGTAAGAGTTGGCTAGAAAGGAACGAAGGTGAAAGCTTTTTTTCTGAGGCGACAGAGATACGTCTCAGAGGGTTGATTCAGGGTCAGTCAGTCTCACTATTATCAGTAGGAAACATCGGGCAAAGCGTCAAAATATACCGATGGGTAGAAGTCACTAGTGACAGAAACAGAGGCGAGTACGAGGAAGTAATCCAAAAGAGAGGGCGATCTGTAACTTTCACTGATTATGAGTTTAAGCAAGGATTCGAAACGTTACGCCAGCAAACTTCATGTTCTGGTGATCGCACCGTTTTCTGGGATTGCATTACGGATAAGCAAACATAAGCAAAAGGCACTGGAGGCATGGAAGGCTTTCCAGTCAGCTAAAGAAAGCTGATAGGTTAGTCACTATGTAATCGGTATATTCATTAAATTTCAATGTTCGATCATTACACAAAGCGATTGGTTTTGCTTGAATGCATTCAGGGCACGTTGACTTCATCTTGACTACGTTTTCTCAAAAAGATGAAACCACTCTTTTGGACGTCTTTTCCAGATGTGTACTCTATCGCACCTCCGCGAGTTTACTGATCCTGCTGACATGTTTGACGGTATTATGAGATTTCGGCAACAGTAGCTTATGTAGTCCCCCTCATTAATTTCTACTCCCAGCATGTTGTCCTACAAAAACTGTGATTATAGGGCTTTATGGGTGGGGAATTAGGACACGT